TTATATCAAGAACACTGACACTGTATCACTTAGTACATGTATGAGAGGAGGTGACATTAGAAGTTTGTTATGAATTTAATTGTAAAATAACGTGTGCACGTACTGGTACATGTATGACCTCTGGCTGAGACATGTACTAAAATACTGCCACAGATTGTAATAATAATAATAATAATAATAATAAAATAATAATAATAATAATAATAATAATCAAAAACCACCAAGGTACTACACTGACAGAGCAACATTTAATGAAAGCTTGGCACAATTTAGTGAAGTTTCTGATTGCTGCATGCTCATTTTTCAAGTATCAAAATTTGCTTTATTAGACAGGTAACAGTTACTTAATTTTTGTATGCATGTTAGCACATTTACCAGTACATTAATTGGATTTTCTGGTCTGGTCCACAAATGGTTAACAGATTACAGCTTTACTTACAACCCAAGCAAAACTAGAGGATCAGAGAGGCAGTACCGCCTCTAAATATTGTACCACCAGCTGGAGTAAGCGCATTCTTATAGACCCCCCCCCCACAAAAAAAAAGGACACCACCACCAGTCTTGTGCTTGACAAGCTGTAAAAAATGCAATCAACAAGAATTTTCAAACTATACAAAAAAAAAAAATATATATATATATATATATAACTAAAAATGGTACAATCAAAGTTCAGTTCATCGTAAGGTAGGTCAAAGGTCAATTTCAAGGTCACAGTAAATTGCCAGTATATGACTTCCTATTCAACTTCAATAGTAACTATGGACCTATCTCTGCCAGTTTTGGAGATAAAAGGGAAGCAAAATTTGCAAAGTTCAGTTCATGGTGAAAAGTAGGTCAAAGGTCAATTTCAAGGTCACAGTTAGATTGCCAGTATATGACTTCCTATTCAACTTCAATAGTAACTATGGACCTATCTCTGCCAGTTTTGGAGATAAAAGGGAAGCAAAATTTGCAAAGTTCAGTTCATGGTGAAAAGTAGGTCAAAGGTCAATTTCAAGGTCACATTTAGATTGCCAGTATATGACTTCCTATTCAAGTTCAATAGTAACTATGGACCTATCTCTGCCAGTTTTGGAGATAAAAGGGAAGCAAAATTTGCAAAGTTCAGTTCATGGTGAAAAGTAGGTCAAAGGTCAATTTCAAGGTCACATTTAGATTGCCAGTATATGACTTCCTATTCAAGTTCAATAGTAACTATGGACCTATCTCTGCCAGTTTTGGAGATAAAAGGGAAGCAAAATTTGCAAAGTTCAGTTCATGGTGAAAAGTAGGTCAAAGGTCAATTTCAAGGTCACATTTAGATTGCCAGTATATGACTTCCTATTCAAGTTCAATAGTAACTATGGACCTATCTCTGCCAGTTTTGGAGATAAAAGGGAAGCAAAATTTGCAAAGTTCAGTTCATGGTGAAAAGTAGGTCAAAGGTCAATTTCAAGGTCACATTTAGATTGCCAGTATATGACTTCCTATTCAAGTTCAATAGTAACTATGGACCTATCTCTGCCAGTTTTGGAGATAAAAGGGAAGCAAAATTTGCAAAGTTCAGTTCATGGTGAAAAGTAGGTCAAAGGTCAATTTCAAGGTCACATTTAGATTGCCAGTATATGACTTCCTATTCAATTTCAATAGTAACTATGGACCTATCTCTGCCAGTTTTTGAGATAAAAGGGAACCAAAATTTGCAAAGTTCAATTCATGATAAAAAGTAGGTCAAAGGTCAATTTCAAGGTCACATTTAGATTGCCAGTATATGACTTCCTATTCAAGTTCAATAGTAACTATGGAACTATCTCTGCCAGTTTTGGAGATATAAGGGACTAAATGTTATAATTTAGGAGTTACAATAATGTGCCATAAATTTCCTACAGAAAAAATTAATTAAAATAAAGAAAAGGTCATTTTGGTTGAAATTCTTGAAATGGGAGGTGCTCAGAAGTTCCAGATGTTCAAATTTCATGAAATAATGTCATTTTTAACCAGAAGTTGTCTGCCTCGCCAAGCCTTATGTTTTATTTTCCCGGGGTTCAAAATTTATTGTTCATTACCGTACTGCATATTTTGCTTTCACCACCAATATGTACTTTTTGATACAGCGTAACTCGAAAACCATATGGAATACAAAAAACCGGAGACCACCTCCAGTGTTGGGCTTTACATGCTCTACAAAATGCAAAAAAGAATGGGTCTCTAGCATTAACGGTTCCCCGAATTAGAGACACTTTTCAGTTTTGGTATCTTATGGCCGCTACTCCCGTGAAAATGCACCGATTGACCCCAAATTCACGGAGATGAAAGATGACCTGAAGGGAAACACTTTCCAATAATATTACTGGTTAACTCTGTGTAGTGTCTGAATAACAGCGCAAGTAATTTTTTTGAAAATTTTGGCCCATTTGACCTTGAAATAAAGGTCAAAGGTCAAATCCAAGGGCATATTTGAAATCTCCACCTATGACTTTTGGAAAGCCGTCTGTAGAAATTTTTCCCATACTTCCTTCCGTAGGGTAGATAATTAGCATTTAATTTTGCCATTTTTGGACAAGGGTGCATTGCAATGAGTGCCACACCTAGACCCCAGCACCGATGAAGCCCAAATTTTACGTGGAACGAGTTGAGATAATAGGTTACCTAAATCCAAGAGATGGGTATGCAGGCCCTTGTATTCTAGGAGGAGAAGCGGTAACGATGACATGGCGGCAGAGCCGGCAGAGCCAACGGAGCCGGCAGAGCCGGCGGAACAGGCGGGTCGGGACTAAAACCATGTGTACCGCCAGCGCCTACGCTGGTGGTACAATAACACTGAATTTTGGATTCTTTTGATGTAACAAACTAGTTTTTCAAATATCACATTTTGAATTATTTTGACAAAAAACATGTCAACTCTGTAGGTCTTTAGGCAAACTGTTTACATACAGCGTAATCATTATTACATTGTATTATATAGTAGAGATTCACCGATTTTGTAATTGTTTATACTATCAAAACCAATCAAATGTGACAAAAAATCATTATAATATCATTTTAACCTTCTTTTTTTTTCAGTCCATCAGAAGTCTCAATCTTGCTATTCCTGCAGTTAGAATCAATTAAGACATGTATGACAGGTGGTACAAATTGCCTGCTTACTTCAAAATTGTTTCTGTCACAGTAGTCACAGCTTGTTTTGTATTATGTTATGTTAGGAGCTTATGTGGGTGGCAGACTCTGAATATAGAGGGGGGGGGGCAAAGAAATTAATGACCTAGTCTCCTGATGGTCTAGTCAATGAATAAATTTCATTAAATCAAATTATGTTTGACATAAAATACTAATAAGAACCATTGGGCGATAAAACCCGTAGTCTTTGACTCTTTGGAAAAAGAACATCTTTACATCTCTGGTTGATATTAAAATCCTCACGTGTTTCCTTAATTGATCTTTTACACAATATCATATGAAGTTATATGGCTGGAACTTTATTGCCATAAATAGAAGGCATATATCTCTTATGTTTTGACATTGTGAAAATTTTGTCAAAAATATTAAGATGTGATAAATTTTAAAAAGTGCTTTTTTATTTCTTTCTCAAAATAAAGTAAAAGAAAGAAACAACTATTTATAAATTTTCTATCCAGTAGAACTGCATTTTTAAAATATGACACAATTCTTTTTCAGGATATGGTGAGTATAAGAGACACCAATAATGCAATAAAAATGACACATCAAGCCTTTTCTACAAATCATTCAATGAATACCTTATTTTTAATTCATGCCACTTCAGAAGGCAACACAACACCTCATGAAACAAATAAATCCTATACACTTAATGAAGCACCATTCATCTATCACATTAAGGATGCATTAACCTATACTGTTAACCTCTAAATATGAAAAAATGTATTCACTATAAAATAGAAATACATAATTTATCTTTTGAAAAATTTCTAACAGTCACATTATTTAATCATAAAGAAAAATTGAAACTTGAGATCAAAAATAAGAAATGATATAATTTTATCTAAAAAATACATAAAATGTCAAAAAACATTACATAAAACAATAATATATGGCCAGTATGCAATATCTATGGAAAATCAAATCTGATAAAAATTTCAGTCAATTTTTTAACACAGACTTGTTGTGCAAAAATAAAAGAAAAAATGCACTAAAATCAAGATCACAGAGAAATTGATAGAGCAGAGGGTTGGCAATAAATTTTGTGTGAGAACTGACAAATTCATAAATTGAACTAAAAACACATCTTAGTATGCTTCTACCCTCAGCTACTTACAGTAATTATGCATCAACATAGGTTTGTAAATTATTCCGAGTGAAATTCCCCCCAAAAAATTAAAAAGATATTAATATTTTACTCATTTTCAAAATATACAACAGTTCTATCAAAAAACTTCCTGTTTAAGAACACCTGAGAAAATTCTAAAATAATGAAAAATGCATATTCATTTTTTAAGTATGCAACATGCATTTCACTAAAAAAAAAAAAAAAAAAAAAAAAAAAAAAAAAAAAAATTGGCTACATGGTTTTGAATGAAAAATTAAATTAAGAAATTTAGGTCACATGATGGCATGCTTCTATGCCTTGATTTTACTGACTCAGAATATTCAAATCCTGTCACAATTAAAACTTTCATAAATGTGGCAACAACTGCCATAATAATTCAGAATACAACAACAATATTTGTAACCATGACCCAAGAGTCTATTAGTTACAGCTGAGTATTATATCAATGTACAGTTCAGAGAATCAGATTGAATGCAGGGTTGATAGCTATAAATAGCTTTACTAGCTTCATTTCACGAGCTTTCACTCTGCCTGAACCTCCTTTTTGCTGAATACATCCATATAAAAACTTGCCCCATTCCACGATACCAAAACTGTGGCCAAAGCAATAAATATACTGTGTGCTATGAAGTATTCATACCAGAGGCGAGTAAGAGCCATAGTCACTGCAGCAAAGAGGTAGTTTAAAAAGTAATAAACAAACCTCCTTCCCCTGAAATATATGAAAACTTATTAGGTTTAGGATAACAGCAAATTTTCTAGACTGCATATATACAGTGTTCAGCAAAACAAAAGCTTTTGAAAATACCGGTAGACGGATTATCCTCAATGGAATATTGGCTTGGCATCTAGCTATCTGACACAAGCCAGAATTGCACTAGTCTAGTAACATAACACCAAATCAATACCACTGAATACTCCCAGTTGCCCACAAAACTTCCATAAGATTTACAACTGCATGCATCACAATTCCATACATCCTATCAAGTATGTATTGCCAGTAACCATGGTAATACATTCTTGATTCTTTGCATGATTAAATTTACAGACAAAAAGACAGACACATTGACAGAATGGCAATCCCACAAACAATATATCAATTATACATAAGATTTAACACAGTGATGACAGTGAGAAATACATACATATATAAATATCACAATTGTTTATAAATGAACAATGAACAATCTAGAATTTCTAAGGCATATAGTTATTAATTTTACAGACAAAGAGTTACCAACACAGGTATTTAGGCTCAGACAAGTATGATTTTTCCTGATGCATCACTTGTTCTGCTTACAATGATTGGCATCATGTCTTTATGAATGGAATTATCAGGGGCTCAATTAAAAACAAGGGCCCCACCACCTCTCATCTAGGCTAATTTAGTTGTTTTGTAGATCAATTTCAAAATGGAACAAACTTTTAGCTATTGTACAAGTAATTGGCACTACATGTAATACATAAACACGATCTTAACCATGCTTTCAAAGTCTGACAGTGATTGATTTTATCATGTCTTCACTTTCAAGACAAACAAAGATGTGTACTGACAATCTTCTAAATTAGGTCAGATGAAACAAATGTACCTTCAAACTTGGACACATTTGTATCATGGGTCTTAGCTTCAGGAGCAACCAGATAGCCTTGTGGTTACAGTATTACACTGAGGGAGAACGAAAAGTTGGACACTGTTTGTGGCCATAGCAGCTAATACCATTCCTTTATAGGTAAACAGTACCTGCTGTCTCCTCAACTCAGCACTATAGGGATGGAGCTGGGGTAAAAATATATGCCAAGCATATAGTAAGCCACACACTGTAAAAGAGTGTAGTGCACCATATCTCTTCTTAGTGCTATAGAATAAGATTTATCATGTTTTAGCAATTTAGAATGTTAATTTAAGAAGTTCTTTAATCTGTTTACACTTCAGTTGAATTGCACATATATACATTTTAATGTGACTGCTAAGAGACAAATGTTATCAAGTTAACAATCATATGAAACTCCCTTATAGCTCAGAAGTTTATCCTAAAGCCATAGGCCTCAATTAAATAAAGAATATGGCTACTTAACTGCCACTGCTTGTGGAAACAACAGGTATATTTCATCAAGAAATTTATTTTTCTCAGTGTCCATACCTCTTCAAAGTTATCAGCACCATTACTGCGGTATTATTTATTGAAATCAAATAATAACAATGATCGCACAGAAATGACACTCAGGACTGATGGGTATGTAGTCACTGTATCTTTTTCAAACTCATAGGTTAAGCAGTTTAGAAATTGGGCCAAGGGACTAATTATGTCCAGACACAAAGTGTCTACCTATAAAAACCATCAACTACAACAGGAGATAGAGCATCGGAATCAATCTTGAATACTGCTGCCAAACAAAAAACAATATTTGCATTTACTAGCTTGATCATAATTATATGTGTTTAATGTTACATTTTCCAAAATTTATTAATATAAGGCAATATGGTGCATATTCTAAGCGGCAAGCAGGTTCACAAGGTCGACACCATGTTGAAATTTTGATACGCATGTCCCACTGTTGTCACCCAGTCCTGTGGATGTGCACATATATTTAATTAGGTCAAATATTGTTCACCTGTGTAGTTATACTTACTTAGGCCCACATATGTTAATTATCTTGAAGACCAGAGAACTCTCTTTTCCTGTCAAGTATCTGTAACTGTCAAGGAATTCCTTCTTTGGCTTGATGATTAAAATTACCACAATGATGTATAATGCCTGAAAAAAGTGGACATTTCAATTATCAGTTAAAGCAAAACATGGCAGATTTCATAAACAACACTAGTCATTTCCAAACTCTTTTTCCTAAGTGTAACATTTAGCATAATGACCTTTTTACATGGCTGATCAGTTCTAATCTTATGCATGCGATATTCCAATTCATATAAACTACAAAGAGAACTGAAATTGTACTCATTCCAAACCAAATGAATGTTTTTTAAAGTTGCGTGCTGTAAAAACTGAAATGCTTAAGGATATTGTAACCCTGATCATCCAGATACCAAAAAAAATTTTTCCTGCATATAATTATTCAATAATGCATCTATCTTTGTACTGGTTTAAAACAATGAAAAACCCCTAAGAATATAAAATATCGGCATTTATATATTTTCGTTGCAATTTATAAGCATAGGCAACTCAAAGCTAAAATCACCAACTTACGTAACACCTTTTTACTTTGAGGTGAGGTAAATGTTAATTACTTTGGTCACTGATCACTGAAGATTTATTTATTACCCAAAAGAATGTATGTAAGGCAGTAAATAAGAAGTTTTTTCTGGCTTTACTTGTACAGTTCTCAAACAGAAATGAAACAATTCAATCTATAATAAGAACTTCATGAAATAATCAGCATACTTACAGAATGCCCTAAGACAATTCCCAATGGTACCACCAATAGCCATATAAAAGAGGGTGCTTGGAATACAGATATAAATGGTTGATACCAATACACCGAGCAGGAACCCGGAAACCAACGTATACTAAAAAATAACAAAATACAAACTATATGTATATGTATTCAAAAATTGTCATCTGTGATAAGATTATGTGGTGGTTCAATATGATAAAACAATCATATAATATTTACTATGGCCCTAATATAATTGAATTTAATGCCATAAAACTTGGATCTAAATGTGACAACAGAATGCTTACTCAAGTACACCGCATAGCTATTGATATAAAAGTCTAAAAATTATATGAAAATTCATATCAATATATATGTCATTAAATTGCAAATTAATAACAGTAATACCTGATACTGACTGCATGTGATAAATAATGCTCTTACCCTGTATTGTTGAGGAAGTGGAAAACAGGAGGAAAAGTACTAGTATTAAGTTTCTCTAGTGTTCTCTAGTGTTTATGCCCTATATAATGGACACAAATTGTGTCAAATACATCACCAAGTGCATGAAGTCTGTGACTAAACCTTTTTTCAATTAAGTTAATAAGTTCAATAGTTTTTATTAAGGACATATACCCCATTAGCCAAAACCAGGCTATCAAATGACTTAACATAATACTAGTTATTATAATATTACCACCTTCTGTTCATGGCTTTTATTCATCTACAGATAGTACTGGGTATGGTCATTTTGCTGATGATGCCATATCAGCGGTTTTTGGACTAATGTGTTTTAGTTTCTTGATTTTCTCTATTATAGACAGCTAAAAGGGGGCATGCATGATTACTGCAAAGGGGTGCAGCTGATTTTCTTACAATCACACAGTTTAGATTTTGTCATTAATAATGTTATATAACACCAATTTTCAATGGACCTTTACAAGCACACCTTACAACAGTTATAAAGACCTTATCAAAAATTTGTCCAACTCAATTGTTCTTCATACTTTCATTAATACCTACACCTGCCCAATACCATATTAGGTGATTTTATCTGCAATGGTGATAGACTTATCCCACAAACCAATTGCTTTGACACCTGACGACAATGTCCCCTGTATCTGTTATTGGTATCTTGATCAGGGGCAGATTTAGCCCGTCTTCTGGATCTTCCAGAAGACTGTCAGATTTTGAAGTTTACATTGACGGGTATTGTATGTTTTCTGTCAGAAGACGGTCAAAATGGAGGATGGATCAACAAAGATAATTTGGAAGACTGTCAGAAAATATCTCTGGATCCGCCACTGATTGATCAGCATCTAAATGGGCCCTTAGTCTTTGCAGTTAAAATGATATCTTGGATTGTGCTCCAAGAAGTAAACTACCATATATTTACTTCCAGAAAAAATATATATATATAGCACAGAAAGAAAGCAGGAAATATTCGTTCAAATATCATTTTTTGGGAATGAAATGAAACAATGCCCTTTGGTATTTCTCTATTTAAAAATTATACTGTTTGAAACTATATGGTAGAACATGGTCAGGTTGTATGGCAAAATTTGGATATCTTTAAACGGAGCATCATAATTAAGGCACATGTCTCCTAAGCAAAGAACGGAAAATCACAAAATGGCACCGTATTGCAACCTAGTAGTCAGCCATGCTAAAATTTCATGATTATGTCTTATGTAGTTGCAGAATTAAGTCAGAAACAGATTACTATCTCATGCCAATTTTTGTAGCTGCTAAATTATAATAAAAGCATGGCCACCCTGAGTGCATAGAAGTCAAAGGTCTCGGGTTGAGACTGCAACATTAGTTGCAAATGGAAGTTCCAGTATCAGAGTTTTCGAAGCAATCATTCTAATTCTACTGAATGACTCACAAAATTCACTCATACATTAATAATTTAACTGAAAAAAACCTTACCCGAATGTTAAGTATGCTGGCAGGAGGTGAATATAAACTGATGTCATTTTATCTAAGCTATGGAAAACCAATGCATTTCTGAACATAAGTGCTCCAAATACTAATGGGCCATTTGCAATAGAAAACACAAGAAGGAAAAAACTGTCATTAGCAGGAGCAGCCCTGAAAAGAAAGCATGAAACATCAATGACAATGAACAAAGATTGCCAGACATAAATAATCGATGCAATTGATATGTAGTAAAGGTTTGCTACAGTATTTCTTCTTAGTCTCAAAGTTTTCTTTAAAACAATGGGGATAACTCATTGTAGAACTCTATTTCATATCAAGTAGGCATTTACAAGAAATGTTTATCCAGGTCTTCAAGTTGTTAAAGAGTTCTTTCTACAGCCTTCAATCTCTTAAAACCATTCACCTCTACATAGGTCAGTAAGGATAAATGAAACAGTCTTGAACTACCTTAACATACTTTGACTGACCTCATTAAGATAATGTTTCAAAGACATAATATCCTTCATAATATGTTAGGTAGGTTCTAAAATAACTATCATGCTTCTAATATAGGTAATTTGACTACAATCTGTACCCTTTATTGGGATAAGATAGATTAAAAGGATTTTCCTTCTTTACCACATGTACACATAGCATAATGTGTTTCCTAGGTAGCAGAAATCCAGCATGAACAGCTGCCACTTCAATTTCCTGAAAAACAACATTATCAGGGTACAATCACTGTGCATTATTCATGTGACCTTACATGACTTCTGTCTCACATTTTTGAATTGAACTGAAAACAGATACATCAAGTGACTTTAGAAGCTAAGAAGGCACTCCACTCTTTTATAAATTTTATACAAGTATAAAATACACTGCATGATATTATTACAGTAGTAAATGCACTGCATGTAGTATAATTAACTTTTTCCATACATAGTAAAATAATGAATAGTAAGAAATTATATGAATAAAACTACAGTTCATATTCTATCCAACTGAATCATAAAGATACCCAAAAATGATACATACCAGTATAAGATTATTCTAATCAAAATTAAAATAGGCGCACTGACAGCATAGTAATAAGGCAGCACCCACTGGATTGTGATTACAGCATGAGCCAAGAAGAAAACTGTTGCAACTGATATGACATATATCAGCTTCTCTACAACATTCTTCTTTTTGGCAACCTGAAATGTTGTTAAATTACTTTTATAGCATCTTACTCTGGTAAAAGAAAAGGGTGGAATGACTAAATATCGGGCAATACATCTAAATCCACCTTGCCAGCTGTAGGTATATTAGGCATCATATATAACAACAAAGTATAAAGTGGATAAAGCATATGAGTGACCTTTTAACTGTAAAAAGTTTATTCCCATACCTCTACAATACCAGTAGGACCCTTAACTTCGGTTCTGCCTTCCTTTATTTGACCTAGTTCTATTGATGATTTTTGAATGCTTGGAATGTCCTTATCCATAAAAATTGTTTCTCCATTTTGGTTGTCCTCACTGAAACACAAGCAGGTACTGGTACTAGTTCATGAAAATGCTATTAAAAAGTTTTAAACTTATATTACAAATTCAATCCAAAAATTCCTCTCTGCCATTTGGTAGACTAAGAATTATATATCAAGTGTTAGAATTATAACAATTATTATCTGTCAGCAGGCAGTTTAAATATAAATATAATGAAAAACATCAATGAACATTGCATTACTATCAGATAAAAAGTGACATTAATACAAAATCCAATAATACACTGAACTAAGTGTGAATGGTATTTATATAAAATTAAATTGTAAGCTGCTATAATTTTTGAATACAAATTTATCAGTTAAAAGTTTGTTTTTTTTCTAAATAGCATGTCTTTTTGAGAAAAAACCTGCTTGAGATTCAAAACAGTTAAACGGGGCACTACTCCATATGCTCAGGTTCCTCTCAAGCTGGTAGAATAAGAATGAGTAGGATACAGTTGCTTGCCACATGTTATTTTGAATTTTTAATCTTTTAAATGAGTTATGCACAATGTAATGATTGCTTTTACTGTATCCCATAAATGTTATTAGCCATTCTAAATGTTTTATTTCTAATCATTTTTAAAAAATCTAACTTAATACATAATGATTGCCTGGTGTAGCTAAATAAGAATTAATAGTACACCAGTAGACATGCACAACTTACTACATTGAATTGCCTGAAATTTCAAACTGTTACCATGTTGTTAGCCTTAGACATATGTGAAATATCAGACAATTTAGCAAATCATTGGCAGTTGCTGTCCTTTTATACAAACAAAGGGTTTCTATCAGTTCACACATCAGTTTAAATACTATGATCACTGACATACTGGGAAGCACAAGGCTATACATGGGGCTACCCACGGCACATGTATTTGAGGCCTTAAGATTACCTGCGGTAAGTACCTTTATAGTAGGGGTGACGATTGTAGGTGGTGCTAGTTGTCCGTTTTTCCAACTATTGCATTCAGGAACTTACTGACCTTTCTACCACAGAATGTTATATGGCCTTTCCTGCGTGTCATGCGAGGTCGACCAAATACCGAAGCAAAATTGGAGTGTAGATCTAACAAACCTACCTTTCTGTTGTTGTCTTCGTATGCATTGTTGCTCCAAAAAAAGTATTGAAAAGAGAAAAATCCTCATATTAAAAATAAGTCAGATTTTGAGATGATTGAACGTTGTTATTTTATAGCCCTTATGGATCATATAAGCGCAAAGTTTTGTCTTTCACCACTTTTCTCATCACTAAGACGTCCATCTTTAAACATATGCCTCGTTCTCAATTTGAAGGGACATGATTGGCGAAGGAAGTTCCTCGCGTTGATTCCCGCGAGATTTCTAACTAGTACATTTACAAAATAATATAGAATAGAATGGAGGTTGTGCTGTGTGATGGACATCGTAAGTAAAATCAGCGGTAAATGCAAATAAGACTTGTTAAAATGTGTTTGTTTTTGTAAACAGCGAGTTTGTAACCGTAAGTTGCTTAATGTACATATAAATTGTGGATGTGAGTATTAAAATGGCGAAATCTGTTACCATTGAAGTGAGTGAAAAATGAAAATGATTGGGACTTTCCCGGTAACTTTCGTTCGTTGCAACTGATTGTGGTTGTATGATATCAAACTTAATTAATGTTTTTGAAGCCCCATAGCACAATAAGAAATCCATCAAAGAACAAAATATTTGTTTGTCGGTAACCCACATCCCTGCTGCTTCTGATATGGTAAATGAACATTCAGATATAATCCAGATCCTATTATTAGTTCTCTAGTCATTTTCCGCTTTCACCATTTTCCTGTAATATAAGGGGCTGTGCATGTATCACTTGCAGGTTAGATTCATTGGCAAAACTTAATAGCAGGCTTGATCATTGTGGTTCTTTTCATTTGTTTTCACTTTTGTACCATGCAAAAACAGTATATTTATGCAGTTACAGATAGCCAGACAATTGCCCTCCTGATTATTCCTCCCCCTTCCCACCCCATATAATTCTCAACAAAACAATCCCGCTCCATACAATCCCCCCCCCCCAAGACAGCCACCCTTCCCACATAAGAACATCCACTTTTTTATTTATCTATTAGAGGCATTTCTACATTCCACACATATATATATATATATATGGGGGGGGGGGATTGTATGGAGCAATTGAAACCAGACCATTTCTTTTAAAGATTTGCATAAAAAAAAAGAAAGGAAACAAAGAAAAAATTTACAGAAACCATGTCTTCCTGTTGTTTCAGAAGAAATTTTTTGTTTGCAAGTTTTGCAGTACCAGTAATATATATTACTGAATATAAAAAGACAGAAAATGTAATAAAAACTTAAGTATAGGCCATGAAGTACTTAATTCAGGAAGCTTACTTACTGGCATAAACAGCCCTAAAAGGTAACCTTATATGTTACAGATGCAAAATTTGTTCAGTTTTCATTATATGTTATTTTTAAGCAAACAAATACTACCATTTTACCAATTTTCTAGCACGAAATTTCATGCGTTAGCACTCCTGTTGACGATTCTGATATGTATTGTCTGTGTTAACGCATGAAAACAAAGGCCTCAAAAAGTTAGAAATGAAAACCGGAATGCGCAGTAGGTTACTGGCCCTCGTGTCATGACTTGAGTACATTTGGCCTGGTTTTCGTCTGTTTATAGCGGGTGTATGATTTTACAATGGTCAAACTGGTAGATAGACAGATGGAGTTAAAGAAAGTGATACTCTGTTGATGGGAAAACTGGTTGGCTTCACAGTAATGTGCGTGTTGAGGAGATGAGATGTAAAATAAAAATTTGAGAGCTGCCGCACCGCGGCTGGTTCGGCAACCGGTTTTCATTTCCAACTTTTTGAGGCCTTTAAGTTCCAAATGACTGGCCTGTCACTAAGACCGCCATGTCTTCCTGTTGTTTCAGAAGAAATTTTTTGTTTGCACATTTTGCAGTACCAGTAAATTTTCACATTTCTAAAACTTGACTGCTTCTCAGTATCAGGTAAACACATTTTATTTGTTTATTTTTTTTATTTATTTATTGTTTATTGAAAATGTAAAATTATGTTGTTGATCAATAAATAAAACCAGCATATTCCTTTTTTTTTTTTCAAGAAAAACCATGTTTTGTAAAAACTGGCACAAAGGGTGGGCCCAACCAAGGCAGAAGCTATTTCATTTGCTCCCAGGCAAACTCACAATGCGGATTTGTGAAAGATGCCAGGTAATTTTTTGTCTATAGTCATCAATGAAATTGATTTTTGAATAATTGAAAGTGATTGGAACATCCTATATCATTCATTTTTATATTTGTTAAGTTGTAATAATTGTAGTGTATAGCTGGTCAACTCTAAGACCAAAAGTATAATTGGCCAATATTGGTAGTAGCCTTGTGTTTTGATGATAGCAGTAAAAGGGATAATTTCTTTTAGATTACAACCATTGCATTGTTTCAAACACCCTGAACATGTGGTTGAGCTTCAAGCTGTTATGCAAAGCAAGTCCACTAGTGAGAAAAGGTAGGATATGAAGAATTTCACAATAATTTAAAAAAACTGCATGATCACACATTTTAGCAATAATATTATTTAAAATTTTCTTATTATTTTCTTGCATTAAAACTCAAATTCTTGTGGAAAACTTATGATGTATTACATTTGTATTGTTTTCAGACATTTCTTTCGATGCAATATCGGTCGTCATGCTAAGAAGAATTGGTGTGGAGCCAAGGTTATAGAAAATCAGGTTAGTACCACTCAATTTCTTAATGTCATTTTGTTATCTGTTTTAATTGGACCAAGAATTGAACAATATGTGACAAGAAAATGAATAGAAATCTATTTTATGATTGCAGTATGTACAATTATTTATTCTATCCTGCCACCTGGCCATAATCTTTCTCTCCTGACAATGCAAGTCTTTATTGAAGTCGGTGATTTTGTATATATCTGCTTTTTAAGGTATGCACAAGGGAAAATCAGGGAGCTATAGTTAGACCAATAAAATCTGGACAGGTTTGTAGTTTTTATATTTCGATATACAGTTCATCGTAGAGGGAATTAATCTAAAATTCAGATGAAATGGTCGTATGTGAAGTGTTTGCCAAAATGTTAAAGGGACTAACAAATGTTTCTCCCTTTTTTAATCTATCATTGAATTTCAGAAAGATTATTCTACCAAATGAAATTTTTAAACAGTATTGCTTGTAAAATGCAGTTTTTAAGTAAATTTGTAAAGCAGTATAATAAGACCCCAGTTTCCTGCCACAAGTTCACTTTTCTACACAATTTCATCTTTGAAAGAAATGTTATGTTTTTCTACAGCAAGCTTCAAGTGTGGTCCCATTACAAGATCACAACCAGCCTAGATCAAGTCATACCCTTGACAAATATCACAATCAACCTGCAACTAAAGAATTTAAAAATCCTACATCAAGACCTTACAAACCATTGGCAGTCCCACAAGATGATGATGATGCTGATGATGATGATGATGATTGCGTGATTGTAGATGTAAAACCACCAGATTCCAAACCTTTCCATGCTGGTGCTAGTATTAATGCTCCCTTGCAGTCGACTTTGATAGATAGGAAGCAGACGGAAAGTACTCTTACTTGTTTTCAAAGGTTTCAGCAACCTTCAGCAACAAATGTTGAGAAGTTGACAGAGTCTTTGATGCAGACAAGCCTTAAAGATAGAGTTCAGTCTAGGTTGACTGGGTCCTCTGGATCTGAATCTGACAACAGTGCTGACACCTACCCTTCTGTTGCTCGGGCACAAGTCAAAAGCTCAGAGTCAGGTTCTGACAGCAGTGTGGACAGTTCCCCCTCTGAACACAGGACAACAGAGCCAGAATCACAGCAGTGTGTTGCTGTAAATCCCCAAGGTGCTCGTCCTAAAGATTATAAAGGGGCCACAAAGGCACAGTTGCAATCTGTAGTTAAGTTGGATGTTTCCCAACTGAATAGGGATATTGCATTAAGGAATGGCCTCGTCAAGAAATTGGAGCGACAGCAGGTAAAAGTTATTTTCATGGACAATCCGACATTCTGTTTTAAATGTATAATGTGCATCAACAAATTGTCTTGTGGTAAGTCTAGTTGTTGCTATATGTTAAGAAAAGAGATTACCGGGTGGGTGCCCACCTCATTTACATAATTCAATAAAGATTGTGCATGTGCTGAATAATTTTAACATATAATTCCTGTTTCAGGAAATCTTTAAAAAGTTTGAATCCACTTTGCCTGATAGCGGCCATAAATTGAAACAACAAATAGGTGAATTGGAAAGAATGATACAGGCTGCTGATTTAAGAATTGATAACCAGAAGAAGCAATTGCCAAAAGAAGGGTCTACAGGTTAGTTAGAACAATTTTTTATGGTACATATATAATAAATTTACAAGTAGGTAACATGTTGAGTCAAAAAATTGATCATGTGACATTTACACCAAGATTTCTGTCCAACAGATAGCTGTCCTCAAGAATTTATTATTCATATCATTTCAATTGAAATGAACTGTCCACCAAATATAGACAATGTATCCAATTTTGCAAAAGCAAACATAGCATCAATATGCAAACTTAAGATAGGTAAAGCGTGGTTTCATTTGATAATTGAAGCTTGATTTTATCTTTGCAGATCAACCTCCTCCTTCCCAGCAGCTTTTTACAACAATCCCAGCAAAGAATTATAGTAACAAGAATCCAGATGGATTAAGGCAGACTCAGATTCTCAACCATGTTGTGCAGCTTCCCCAGCATGCATTTCAACAGTTGTATGCAGGTATTTCTTAAGATTTACATATATTCTTATTCTGAAGATGAAATGCGATAAGTGTTATGTTGTATAGGTCATTTTAAAATGGAAATGAGGATTGATTTAAAAAGAAAACTCCAGAAAACTCATTTTTATCCAAAAAATATGTTAAAAGCAACTGGATTTGCAATAAGATCTCTGTACCTTTCATTAAGAACCATTTAACTACAAAATAAAAATTTGATTTATTGTTAAACATAATCACTAGCAAATCCCCAGGCAGTCATCTGGTATGCTTAATCAGAAAAAAAAGTATAATTACAAAATGAGATACTGAATGAATTTCATACTAAATCCCCAGCAAATCCACAAGCAATGACATTATACCAGGGCCGCATGACAGCCTCAAAGATGCGTCAGGTGGGAGCTGTTACAGCTGAGGCAATTGAGACTATACACAGGTAAAGACTATACACAGGTAACATACAAGAAACTCACTCATACCATAAGGGAGTTGGTTTTGGGGGATAGAACAATTTTTTATAAATTGAAAAATAGTATTTTTTAAATAATTTCCACTTTGCTATGATAGTTTATCATAGAAAGCATGTTTTATGAAGTGTTTTTCTATATTTTTCTCTGAAAATTATATTAGATATATTTTGCATATTGATTTATTTATTTATTTATTTGTTAATTTGATGCTACATTTGAAGTACATTTTTTTAATTATCTTTAGGCAATTGGAGACTTGTCCTCTAGATAGAGCAGAGTTAGCAGACCCTAATGGTCTGACAGTGACTTTGATGCCACACCAGAGACAAGCCCTGGCTTGGCTGACATGGAGGGAGAAACAACATCCACCAGGAGGAATTCTAGGTTACATCACTTGCCCTCAAGCACACACACACATTTCCTAAAGGAAACTTTATAATACAAATTAATCCTGTTCACTGAATTTAGGAAGCAGGCCCCGTATGCACAAAAAATCCTTATCTTAAGTGAAAAATTCTCCTTAACTTCATAAGAAAATTCTTAGCTGAGGAAACCCCTTAAGTGGTATGCACAAAGTACCTTAAGAATTCCCTAAGCCAAGAATTTTCTCAAATAATAGGAATTTAATCAACTCTGTAGGATTTCTCTTATGTGTTGAGCTATGTTTAGCCTGTGCATTGACCAATAGAATTACCTGTTACAATAGCTCACACTGGGGAATTCCTGGGGAATCCATGTTTGAAGGAATCCTTTACTTGGATATGATAGGCCTATCAGTTATTATTAGAATTTAGAAGAGTTGAGATATCAATCGTGTAGGCCAAGAAGTTGTAACTTCTTGTGTAGGCCTAGTATTCTTCATACTCTGACAGAAAAAGAGGCATGTCATCCAATCCCCAGACCCAACACTAATAATAATAATCGAGTGACATAATTACATTTTAATAAAAAGGTTTTATATCTATTGGCTGATACATGTGCACCCATCTCCCCTATCGGCAATAATTCTGTAAAAAGGCCCCATAAAAAATATTAGTTTACCATCATTGTCACCTACAAGAAGTGATTCAGTAGGGCGTATTTTTTGCTCATACAAAAACACATTGAATTTAACCAACGATGCCCTCCGGACCGTCATTACATACACTAAAACATGGAACGTGCCATGAGCAAAGCTAGTAGTAACATAAATTGCAGTGAGAGGCACTCCTAGTATAGGGAGAGTGTTTTTGTGCATGAGGTGCACATTTGATGGGGAAAATTTACATTTTAATTTTTTTATGTGAGCAGAAAAAGTAATGCCGCCGGGGATGATAAAGTAACATTTTTTCATGGGTCCTAAAAATGAAATAAGACCAGCACGTACTTATTTCATGACTATGGCCATTTACATGTCATCGACTTACATATTTTAAGTGTTATCTGTGATGAAAAATTGTGACATGTAATTCATAATATTAATATTAATTTTAATTATTAATTTCACTACTGACCCCACGTATGCACATATTAAATACCTATGTTAATTGTATAAGCATTGATGCGTGAGATTCCGTGTTATCAGGTGGTTTTCGGGGATTTCATAAGCAACATGCCATAAAAAATGCCCACTCAAAATTTTTCACTTTAGATATCCCTTAACAGAACGACAAATTACAAATGTAACTGCCAGAAGATCCGTAATGAAAAGTATCCCCGCTCTATCAAAATGAAATCGCTGGTAAATCTCATGATCTGGGTAAAAATCCAAAGGATTTTCGCGGTCCCGAAATATTCTTGGTCTTGGGACTGCCCTTTACAGTTCATCCACTTCTTCACGATAAACAGCAATAACCCAGCAGGCATAGTTGCGTTGGATCAACATTGAAAACAGGATGATACATTGAATTGCCATTGATCTACCTTAATTCAACGTTAAATCAACGTTGATCCAGCCACGTCGAAACACCGTCATAATGTGACGTTGACTCAACGTTGTATTTTGGTCATTGACACAACCTTGCAGACATGGATTATATTTTAAAATATTAATTGTTGAAAACGTGATACTTTGTTTATCAATACTGTAACTAACTTTATCAAAATAATCAAAAAAGTGTTAAAAGTAAAAGTGACAGTTGTTTTGTGTCTTTAGTGAACTAGTGAATTTTCTTAACTTGTTATTCAGAAATACATTCCAATAAACTGAATTCCTTGCAAGGTCAGCTAACACTAGGATGAATAAGTTGCTGTAAATGTGATGGAGTGAATTAATAATGTTAACAGTTCTTGGTAACCTGTTATACATAGAGATGTTGAGGTGACTGTGACTTTGTTACATATATATATATATACTTTTATACCCTACCCTCAGGTCATTTCAATGTCTTTTCATGCAAGAATGTTGTCTAACAACTGGGGTTGATACAATGTTGTTATCTGACGTTGATACAACGTTTTTATCTGAGGTTGAGTCAACTTTCAAATCCAATGTTTATCCAACGTCTTATCAACATTATGGTTCAACGTTGTTTCAATGTTAAAACAACATATTTTGCCCGCTGGGAATAAGAGCCATAGAGAAATAATGTTGCTGCACAGCTTTGACTAGCACAAATGTATGCCACTGTGTTGTACAGTCACTGAATCTAAGGACAAAATTTCCACTTAAGAGACCCAATGAGGTACCTTAAAGTTAAGGAGATATTTGGGGAAATTCTCATCTTAAGATGCTTTATGCATACCACTTAT